GTCAAATTGTCTCTATTTGCAGACAACATGATTGTATATTTAAATACCCTATCATCTCAGCCCAAAATCTCCTTAAACTGATAAGCAACTTCAGCAGTCTCAGGATACAAATCAATGTGCAGAAAGCATAGGCATTTCTATACACCAATAACAGACTAACAGAGAGCCAAATCATGAGCAAACTTCCATTCACAATTGCTACAAAGAGAATGAAATACCTAGGAATACAACTAACAAAGGATGTAAAGGACCTCTTCAAGGAGAACTACAAACCACTGCTCAAAGAAATGAGAGAGGATACAAACAGATGGAGAAACATTCCATGCTCACAGTTAGGAAGAATCAATATCATGAAAATGGCCATACTGCCCAAAGTAATTTATAGATTCAATGCTCTCCCCATCAAACTACCAATGACCTTCTTCACAGAACTGGAAAAAACACCTTCAACTTCATATGGAAACAAAAGAGCCTGCATAGCCAAGACAATCCTAAGCAAAAAGGACAAAGCTGGAGGCATCAGGCTACCTGGTTTCAAACTATACTACAGGACTACAGTAACCAAAACAGTATGGTACTGGCACCAAAACTGAGATATAAATCAATGGAACAGAACAGAGGCCCTGGAGGCAATGCCACACATCTACAACCATCTGATCTTTGGCAAACCTGACAAAAACAAGCAATGGGGAAAGGAGTCCCTGTTTAATAAATGGTGTTGGGAAAACTGGCTAGCAGTGTGCAGAAAGCAGAAACTGTACCCCTTCCTGATACCTTACACTAAAATTAACTCCAGATGGATTAAAGATTTAAACATAAGACCTAACACCATAAAAACCCTAGAAGAAAACCTAGGCAAAATCATTCAGGATATAGGCATAGGCAAGGACTTCATGACTAAAACATACCAAAAGCATTGGCAACAAAAGCCAAAATAGACATATGGGACCTAATTAAACTCCAGAGCTTCTGTACAGCCAAAGAAACAATCATTAGATTTGAGTGAATTGGTAACCAACAGAATTGGAAAAAATTTCTGCAATCTACCCATCTGACAAAGGGCTAATATCCAGAATCTACAAAGAACTAAAACAGATTTACAAGATAAAAACAAACAAACTCATTCAAAAATGGGAGAAGGATATGAACAGACACTTTTCAAAAGAAGACATATATGAGGCCAACAATATATGAAAAGATGCTTATCATCACTGATTATTAGAGAAATGCACATCAAAACCACATTGGGATACCACCTCATGCCAATTAGAATGGCGATCATTAAAAAATATGGAGACAACAGATGCTGGAGAGGATGTGGAAAAATAGGAACACTTTTACACTGTTGGTGGGAGTGTAAACTAGTTCAACCATTTACACTGTGGAAGACAGTGTGGTGATTCCTCAAGAACCTAGAGATAGAAATTCCATTTGATCCAGCAATCCTATTACTGGGTATATACCCAAAGGATTATCAATAATTCTATTATAAAGACACATGCACATGTATGCTCACAGTGGCACTGTTTACAATAGCAAAGACCTGGAACCAACCCAAATGCCCATCAATGATAGACAGGACAAGGAAAATGTGGCACATATACACCATGGATACTATGCAGTCATAAAAAATAATGAGTTTGTGTCCTTTGTAGGGAAATGGATGAAACTGGAAATGATAATTCTCATCAAACTAACACAAGAACAGAAAATCACACACCACATGTTCTCACTCATAGCTGGGTATTGAACAATGAGAACACACAGACACAGGGAGAGGAGCATCACACACTGGGGTCTGTTGGAGGGTGGCCAAGGGAGGGACAGCAGGAGAGTGGGAGGGTTAGAGAGGGATAACATGTGGAGAAATGCCAGATGTGGGTGACGGGGGATGGAGGCAGCAGACCACATTGCCATGTGTGTACCTATGCAACAATTCTGCATGATCTGCATATGTACCCCAGAACCTAAAGTACAATAAAAAAAATCGCTATTTCTAATACAGGTAAAACATTTTATTTCATTTTTCGATTACTGCAAATTAAAAACAAGTGATTAAAAATGCCTTTGCTGCTCCAGGCACTGGGAATAAAACAAACAAAAAATGCCTTTGTTTTTGGCTTTTGAATTTGACAAAACCTGTTTGAAAAGCATTTAATTAAATTAATAATCAGATTGGACACAGTGGCTCACACCTATAATCCCTGAACTATGGGAGCTGGGGCAGGAGGACTGCTTGAAGCCAGAAGTTCAAGACCAACCTGGGCAACAAAGTGAGACCCCCATCTCTATAAAACTTAAAACAAATTAGCTGGGCATGCTGGAAAATGTGTGCAGTCTTAGCTACTCAGGAGGCTGAGGTGGGAGGATTGCTTGAGTCCAGGAGGTCAAGGCTACAGTGAGCCATGATTGTACCACTGCATTCCATCCTGAGTGACAGAATGGGGCTCTGTCTCATAAAAATAAATTAATCAATTAACTACTAACTAAATTTCACAGCTTCAACAGGCACATTTTCAAATGCACAAGTTTCTGTGTAACATGTAGAACACAAGATACAGTCCACTATTTACAAAAATATTTACATGACATCCTGAGAAATAGCATTTTGTGGTTCAAGAAAACAAAATCTTAATGTTTAATGCAATTTATGTTAAATTAGGTTTTGCTTGATGGACTTGTAAAATATTAGTTATTAATTAAAAATCAAAATTTTTAATATGTTTCAAGTGTAGCTCCCAGGTATATTTCTAAACTTCAGTAACTCAACCATATATGTATAATATTATATAAAGTACCCCACTCATAAAGCTATATTAAAATATCTGGGGCACTATTGTTTTTCTTTCACTGTAGAAATACCTATTAATTTAGCTTTTTGTGTGTGTGCTTATAATCTACAAATTATTTCCTATTTTCTATGGAATTCTTAGTACCATGCTTTCAATAAATAAGGCATTTTTAAATTCACTGACTGATTTTAATCTTTGGTGATTTATCCTTCCCTTATCTACAATTCCATAAGTTTTATTAAGTGCCCACTTTGTGAAAAGCAACATACTTAGTGATACAATTAGGTTTTAGACTGGTTTTAATCGTTGATTAAACCTCCACTTTATTCTCTTTTTCTACAATTCCCTAACAGATAAAGAAACATATGAATGAAATGGTGAGTCCTTAGATAATTGAGGATTGATTACATTTCCTAATAATGTACCTACTTTAATTGGTTCTCCTTTGCTTCTATATTCACTTTATTGCAGGATTCCTCCCATAGCAATCCTTCTCAGAGCATCTTAAAATGACAGGTTAATGTCAAGGAAAAAACCTAACATCGTTGTATATAATTAATCTCTAGAGTCATCTTGATCTTTCTTTAAAAAGAATTAGTTGTAGAAATTTAGGTTTTTTTTTTTATTTTCAAGTTTTGTGAAGCTGAATTTGCTGCTACATTAGTTAAGAAATATTTCTGTGGATGAAAATGCTGCCAACTAATATTTAGCCAATCATGCAGAGTGGTTTTTAAAGTGTGTGTATTATTGCTTTAAATATAGTATGAAAGGTTTTACAAATTTTATCATCTAAAATTTATGTTCTAACTTTTTTCAAAGTAGCTATTAGCATAAGTAAGCCCCTACTTCCACTTTTACTCTTGCCATATTAACGAGTATTCTTTATTAGCTTTAACTACATTTTGGAAACTTTTTTTTTTTTGAGACAGAGTTTCGCTCTTGTTACCCAGGCTGGAGTGCAATGGCGCCATCTCAGCTCATCACAACCTCCGCCTCCTGGGTTCAGGCAATTCTCCTGCCTCAGCTTCCTGAGTAGCTGGGATTACAGGCACGCGCCACCATGCCCAGCTAATTTTTTGTATTTTTAGTAGAGACGGGGTTTCACCATGTTGACCAGGATGGTCTCGATCTCCTGACCTTGTGATCCACCTGCCTCAGCGTCCCAAAGAGCTGGGATTACAGGCTTGAGCCACCACGCCCAGCCGGAAACTTTTTTACAATAATCAATCTAAAGATTAAGCCTTGGTTATAGCACACTAATATTTTATTACTGCCCACAAATGTAGATCTTGAGGAATTAAAAACAATACGTTAGAACCAGTGAACTAAGTACAGTGTACACATTTCCAGAGCAGAAAAGCCATAAACTACAATTCTGAGGTAACCTTACTTAGAAAGGACAAACCAGGTGCTAAGACCAAATTAGGCACTCAGTGTTCTAGCTCAGAGGTGAGCAAGTTAAGACTATTATGTACTAAGAAACAAATCCAAAGTCAAAGCAGGAGGTCAGAGGTCAGTTCTTTAGCAAGAGTTGACAATAACTTTTCAAACTGAAGTTAGTGACGGAGCAGAGGAAGGGATCAAGGGGAACAGGCGAGGCCTTCAGGAAAGTAGGGGCTTACTTATGCTAAATAGGAAAACAATAAAATAGGACATACTATACCCAAGAAAAGCAAAAGTCAAAGACCTACAAGACAACAAGAGAATAGGAAGTAACAAGAACAGTCTATAGAAATACTATCCAAGACAATTTTCTGTGATAATGGAGAGTTCTACCCTTGAGCCTCCAATGCCGTGGCCCATCCGCAGGTGACTTTTAGGCACTTGAAATGTAACAAGTTCAACTAGGAACTAATTTCTGAATCTTATTTAAATATAAATAATTTAAATCACCATTTGTAGCTACTGTCATGAACAGTGCACCTCTATGAACATATAAATATCACTGACTCTGACTGAGACTCATAGATTGTGTTTCATTGTCATAGGACCTCCTGCAAGGGCCCAAATCATACTGTTGCACTTCCAACAGTTTAAAAACATAGCTCCTTTCACATAGCATCTGATACTATCTACTTTTCCTTGTTTCCCATGACAGCTATCTCCAACTGGGATAAAATGTTGTATTATAGGGCTATGTTAGATCAGAACATTGGGTTGGTGTGCATAAAGTTTCCAGGCTCTCAAGTGCATTTCTTATGTACCTACCTATATGCATCTCCCAATTAATCCACTGCCAGGAGATACTGCTTTCACTGGCTACACCCCTTGGGGTAGGCATGGAAATGATGTTCCTTGTAGATATGGTTCTGAAAAGGATAAATGAATAGAATATTGAGAGTATTCAAAGGGATGTTGGAATGGTTGGAATGCTATCTTCTATCTGTTAGAAAGAAACATGTGTGTATAATATTATATAAACTACCTTACTCATAAAGCTATATGAAAATATTGCAGGCACTATTGTTTTCATTCACTGTAGAAACACCTATTAATTTAGCTTTTTTTTTGCTTAGAATCTACAAATATTTCCTATTTTCTATTATTTCCTATTTCTATTATTTCCTGTTAGAAAGAAACAGATAGAAGACAGCATTTATGAGGTACCATTCTAGAAATATGTGGCAGTGTTCCAAAGAAAAAGGTGGTTTCTGACAGTTGGTGGCATTCTATCTCAGATGGGACTAGATAGAAGGTGCCCTAGAAAAGAGCATAGGCTCTACAGTTGGTAAGCTGAATATTGATGAGATTTCACTCTTTTTCACTCTAAGTAGATTATAGATCCGATGATGCTGCTCTTTGCAGTCTCAGAGGGCTTGAACTTCAAGTCAGAGTGACTACAGATGTCTGAACTCTATGAATAAAAGAGATAGTACACCTGAAATTTCTATGTTATGTACAGGGAGGAGGAAGGAGTTCTTCCACCCTATATACTCACATTGAATGCATGACACTAATTCCAAATAACTTGGGAACAGCACGAGGACATCATCTGTGATAACTAGTCCTGTTATATTCTCAGTTCCTAAAACAGTGCCTGGAACATAGCTGACACTCAATAAGGGTGAGTTGACTGCCAAGCCATGACTGCTCCAGCCTGGACTGCATTGTTCTGAAAATGGTATTGTCGGGTTGATGAAAATGTCACCATCCATGTGGTCCATCTGTTGTAGATTTCTGAGTCTTCTCTTTAAGACATGGATGAGGATTAGGTAATGCAGCACATTTTAGCTATCAAAAGTAGAGCACAGACTTCTTCCAAGAACATGAATTAGACCTACTTTTCTTTCTTCCCGCTAAGTACAACTAAAAACCCTGGATATTATATGTTTTAAAGAAACATACAGAGACTCTAAAAGTTGGAAAGAAGAAAGCTGACCAGCCAAGGACCATCTCAGGACCCAAGAAATGACATTGTTGTAAGTTCCTTGGGTTTTCTTCATGCCTTGTTTAGCCCTGATTTGTAGCTAAAGAAGCTAACAACCTGAAAATACCTATGGATGCAGTCAAAAATAAAAAAAGAGCCCCAAAAAGTGCCTTCTCTCTTTAGCCAAATAACCTAGAAATAGCCAGCCTCGTGAGACAGAAATATTTTAGACAGTAACTATTCTACTGCAGAGAAACACCATAGAAAAAACTGTGGCCTCCTACCACAGTAGCAAAGGCCAAGTGGGAAGTTTAGATTTTACCTTCATAAGACTAGAATGAGATGTCCCCAAACCAGTGCCAGAGAAGGCCAAATAGACAGATGGGACTTTTATTTTCTTCAGCTGGCAATGAAGTAATCTCCCAAAAGTATAGGTGGAGACCATATAGGGAGACAGAATTTCTACCATCACCCAGAAGTAATGAGGTGTCCCTCCATATACCTACTGGGGTGGTATCAGTGAAGGCATAGTAGACAGTTAAGATGTTAATCATTGCCTAGTGATTTGAGGCCACCTTCACCATAGTACTATGCACAGCACGTGGGGAACCAGAAATTTTACCCTTACTGAGCAGTAACAAGGTACCCTCACATTGGGTGTCAATGGAGATCAAATGGGTAAACTAGACATCTACCTCCAGTTGGCCGTAACAAAGCCCATGTCTTCTCCTCTCTTTCCATGCCAGAGCAGTGTCAGAGGAAGACAGCTAAAACAGATTGAAATAATATCCAGGGTCTCAAAACATAATATGAAAATATTCAAACTTCTAGCAAGAATAAATACGGGCAAGACACAAATTACTTATAATAGGAATGAAGCAGGGATGTCACTACAGAACCTGCAAACATCAAAATGATAAAAAGAGTTACAATGAATAATTCTATATATCTACAACTTAGATAAAATTGATCAATTTCTTGAAAAACAAAAATGACTGTGACTTTCCACATATGAAATAGACAATTTAGATAGTCCTATAATACTGAGAAAATTACATTTGTAATTTAAAAACTCCCAGAAAAGAAAATTTCAGGCCCACATGGTTTCACAAATTTCTGCCAAATGTTTAAAGAAAAAAATAACACCAATTCTACAAATCTCTTCCAGGAAATGGGAAGGAAACTTTCCAATTCACTTTATGAAGCTAGCATTACCCTGATACTGAAGCCAGACAAACACAGTACAAACAAACAAACAAACAAAAAAAACCACAGACCAGTATGTCTCAAATTATAGACATACAAGTCTGTAACAACGTTTTAGCAAATAAAATTAAGCAACACATAGTAAGACTCCTATACTATGATCACGTGTGGTTTATTCTATGGTTGCCAGAGTGATTCAATCTTCAAAAATTCAATGAACGTCATCTACCACGTTAACAGGCTAAAGAAGAAAAATCACATGATCATATCAAATGATGCAGAAAAAGCATTTGATAAAATTCAACACTTGTTCATGATATAAAAAAACTCTCAGAAAAATAGGAATAAAGAAAACTCTCTCCACTTGACAAAGATCTACAAAAAGCCTACAGCTAATATTCCTCTTAATTGTGAAAGACTGAATGCATTTTCCATGAAACTGAAAATAAGATAAGGAAGTCTGCTGTCACAATTTTTACTCAAAATAGTGCTGGACAAACAAATGGAAAACCGTTCCATGCTGAAGGATAGGAAGAATCAATATCATTAGAATGGCCATATTGCCCTTAGCAATTTACAGATTCAATGCTCTTCCTGTCAAACTGCCAATGTCATTCTTCACAAAACTAGAAAACACTATTTTAAAATTCATATGCAATAAAAAAGAGCCCAAATAACAGGATGATCCTAAGCAAAAAGAACAAAGCAGGAGGCATCACATTACCTAATTTCAAACTATTGTACAGGGCTACAGTAATTAAAACAGCATTGTACTGGTATAGAAACAGACACATAGACCAGTGAAAATAATAGATCTTTAACAAAGTGGACAATAACAAGCACTAGAGAAAGAACTGTCTATTTAATAAGTGATGCTGGGATAACTGGCTAGCCATATGCAAAAGATTGAAACTGGACCCCTTCCTTATGCCATTTAGAAAATTCAACTCAAAATGGATGTAAGACTTAAGTTTAAAACATAAAACTATAAAAACCCTGAAAGACAACCTAGAGGATACCATTCTGGGCATACAAACAGACAAAGAGTTCATGACCAAGATGCCAAGCACAATTGCAACAAAAACAAAACTTGAAAAGTAAGAGTGCTGAACTGGTGGAACTACCTCTTCTGATGTTTCAAGAGAAGCTGGAAATCTGGCTTTCTATATGATATCTCCCAATAATTAAAATGTCTTCACTACTTTGCCTATTATGCCCTAACACTATGAGATCTAACACTGTGTAGTCCAAATAAAACATATCTGGAACTCATATTATTTTAATGTTATTAATTCAAAGGAATCATAAGAAATGGTTTCTATCATTGCATCCCCACATTATTAATTTTCAAAAACCTCTTATGTTGATATTCCATCATAAATTGCTGTTTCCATTAAAACATATTAAGAATAAATATCTCATTTTGTGCAATTCATATTTAATGTTAAGGGTGTAATTAGAGCAATGTCTTTGTATTAAGCCCTGCACATGATGTCCCATTTTTTTTGGAGGTTATTTATGAAAGTTCCAAATTTCTTGCAGAAAATTGTCTATCACATATATTAGAATGATATATTATGCTTATATGTTTATACATATATATGTTTATATAATGATATATTATGTTTCATTGCTCAAAGCTACTTCATGAGGGTATGTCTTTACTCCAAACATAATTGGAACTTTCTTGAGGGAAGGTTTCAAGTCTTACAGTTCATTTTTCTATCTCAATTTGCTTACTAAAGTTCAGATCACACAACAAGTGCTCAAATATGGCTACATCACAGGGATTTCTTTTTTTTTTTTTCATTAATGCCCTTTAGTTTAGAAGTTGTCTTCTGTTTCTAGTTTGTTGTTTTAAAAATCATTAACAGATATTGGATTTTTTCAAATGCTTTTTCTGCATCAACTGAGATAATCATGTCAGGGGTTTCCCACTCTTTGTTCTATTACTATGGTGTGTGTAGTGGTTCAAATAGTATCCCCCCAAAATTTATCCACTCAGAACCTCAGAATGTGACCTTATTTTGAGTAGGGTCTTGCAGATACAATTACTTAAGGATCAAGATGAGATCATCACAGGGATTTCTTTACCACCAGACTTTGTGTCCAATAATATAATTGAAGCTATTCCTGGCTTAAAAGGGAAATGGTAGGACAAATGAGTGGGGAGATTGATTAGTCCTCTATAGACTCTTACCATCAGTGCTATCACACCCTCCCAGCCCAGCAGCAGGCCTTTTCTTCTTGACTTTTCAGCAACATTCGTGTTTCCCCTAAGATTTTCAGGAGTTCCCCAACAGGCTGTGGTTGAGAATATCCACTCACTGTTTTGAATTTAAAAAAAAAAACGAAGAAAACAATCAGGCAAACTGTGTTCTGTTCCATGCATTTTATATAACTGTGGCCTTGGAAGGAATTTGCCTTATAGGGCAACTTATTATACATGGACTTTATCAACCAACAGTAGAGGTAAAATGCTCCTATTTATTACATTTCTATTTTCCAATTTTAAGTAGCTGTTATGGTTTCGGTGTCTACAGTGTCTATGGCAATTTTAGTATCCTGTGGCATGCAGGGTTTCTAAAAGTCAGGTGGATTAATGGAAAACATGGCAGGTAGCGTCTGACAACAGATAAAAAACTCTAAGCTAACAGAAGATTTTTCTCAGCCTTTTCTGCTTGCCTATCAGATACTGAGATTTTGACCTATGAAAACAATTTTGTGTTTAAAGAA